AGATGCTGACAACACTTAAACAAGATGTTGGTGGATTTCTGAAAGCAATGCCTAAAACCATCCCACTGAAATGGCTTAAACTCCAGCATATGTTGCAGGAGAATGGTAGGACAGCACTGCGCATGACGCATGATGAGGTAAGCTTTCATTATGTTGTTGTATATCGATTTATAAATACACTTAAATATAAAAAAATAGTGAAAATGTGTTAAAATAAAAGATACCATTGATTAGTTAATATAGAAAATATATAATATAATGTGCGGTACATAAATATAGAATCTTACTTAATACACTTGTTGATTGCAACTATCTCTTTTTTTTTTTTTTTGTCTCATGTCAATTCCGGCTTTAAATATTCAATGCGGAATGAGATTTTTTTATTTTTTTATTTTTTATTTTTTGTCTCGCGTCAATTCTAGCTTCAAAAATTCAATGTGAAATGTTTTTTTTTCTACAGCTCAATGCTGAAGCAGATAATCCCAACAGTGTAAAGTTAATGGACAATTTTGTTTTGTATTAAATTGTCACATTTTATTGTATATCTCTATTTTTATTATTCTCTTGTCAAAAACAAATTCATGTACTTGTGAATATGATAACACCATTTTAGTACCGATCAAGTTATAGTTGCATCTTCAACATTCCATATACATTTCAGGGGCAAACATTAGATTTGATTGCCTGATGGAACCATGCAAAAATTTGTTGCATCCCATGTCATGTACTGAATAGACCACTCCACACAACAAGAGATGGGGTAAGGGGCTCAGGAGTGCCCTCAGTCATGTACCAGAGAGAACAAAAGCTGTTAAAATCAACTATAAATATGCTATTCAATTCTAAAAGAAGTATTTGAATAAAATATTGACTATGGTCATGTACCCAAAAAGGCCACGAAACCTAATATACAGGGGCGTATCCAGGATTAGGATCCATGTAAGCATCCAACAAAGGCAAAAAGTTTAAAAAAAATATGCTTATTTTGCATAGCCATAGGTTGTATTTTTGAATATTTAATCCGCAAATTTTAACAATATTTTTTTTTTCATGTGTGCGACGTGAAACAAAGAATTAATTTTGTTTGGCCTTAATGATGGAATAATGCATCCTGAATGAAGTTAATATATTTACTTAGAGTGTATCTTGTCATCTAATATATATTTAAATTTATTTTTTTAATAGATTTTTATACTTTCTACATTTTTATATATTTAGGTCTGTGCTGTTGCCACTAAATGCGGAATTTCTGTAAAGAATCTCATCCACACCTTAAACTACTTACATGATCTTGGAATCATTCTGTACTTTGAGAACAACAGACTACTGAAGCATACGGTGATAACAAACCCACGGAAGCTGATTGACATCTTGAAGAAAATTATCACTGTAGTGGAACCTCATGACAGCGAAAAGGTGAGTTAATAACAGTAGCGGCACCAGTGGGGGGCAAGGGGCTTAAGCTCCCTCATCGAACAAGTCAAGCACCCCCCACCTGCCGAGCTCGTCGGGCAGTCTAACCAAAAAAAAATTTCTAAATAAAGCCACAACATGTCTTTCACAGTCGTAAATTAAAATACACCATTTGCGTCTCTACAAAATTTATATTTATTCTTTAGTTTTTTCAGAGATTTGTATGATTAAAAATATATCGTCATATTTACGTACTTATACTGTATCAAAAGTCATTGTGATACTGGTTATTATTAGCAAGCTTATCAGTTAGCTAATATGTTTTTTAGAGACGCAAATGACATTTTGTTATTTTAGCCTTGTGACGTCACTTCTCGAGGTAAACTATCGACAGTGACAAGTGGCTAAAATCTGGTTATAAAACTTGCTTTCTTTCCTTAAATCCCACTTGTTGCACGACACAACATCAAGATATCTTTTCAATATATAAAGGACTTACAGTTTGAGTTTCGTAGAGGTAAAAGTTTATACCATGGTTAAGGTGATTTTTGACTGGACTAGTACGATAATAAGTCAAGTAGGGCAAACGTCATTTTGATTAAATCTCTCAAATAGCATTGCAGTACCCGCTGACTTGCAGATCTGATTCAACACTAGTCACTGAGCACACTCTTAGTGGTCTAGTGGTTATGACACCATGCTATTATCTGGAGGTCGTGGGTTCGATTCCAACACGAATCACTGGAGACATTTATTTGCAAGTATTTGGGAATGTATTGAGCAATCAGTATGATAGCACATTAGGTAGGCCAAGACATTCTGATTAAATTTCCAGACGCAAAACACCATTGAAACACAATGTGATTAATTGCATGTCCGAATGATTTCAGTGGGCTACAATGATTGAGCTATGGAATAAACTTGATGAAGAAGGAATTCTTGAGGAAGAGTTAGTCAGACATCTTTGGAGAGATGAGCTTGCCAAAGATGAATCTAGTTTTGAAGTCTTCTTGGAATTGATGAAGCAGTTTGGACTACTCTGTGAGCAGATCAAGGTATTGCTTTTTTTCTTTTCTTTTTTTTTTTTTGTTGGCAAATACTTGCAGAGTTCAGATAGTCAGCCATCCAGCTAGTTAATGATAAGTTGACCTCTGCCCCTTAACTAACTTAATATACAGTGCAATCAATCCTAATAAGAATCTATTAAAAATTAAATTAATGTAAATTTGTTTAAAAGGCAAAGAAATGCAGACTTAAATGGTGACTTATTCCATCTTTTCATTGTAAAATGAAATTCATCAAATTATTTTTGGGAAAAAAAAGAGTTTAAATTATTTTAAAAGTGTTAATCTTACTTTACCTTACATGCCATTTAGATTGCAAAACTTTTGATTATTTAAAAAGCTGGTAACTATAATATGTACATTTTTCTGTTATTTTCTATTTTTTTTTAAAATTTATTTGTTTTTTCTCAAGAATCAGGAAAGCAAACATCGCTCATTTTTTGTACCCTGTCGATTGAAACGTAGCAAAGACAATGTGTCTATTCAACTTGATACAGCTCAGATGGTATCTATCTATATGGCCTCCGAGGATTTCATCCCTGATAGTGTCTTCCATCCTCTAGTTGTGAGCTTGATTGGAATGGTACAAGATATGGGCTACACAGCCATGCTGGAATTATTTAGCAACTATGCAAACATCCGCCTAGGACGTGAACACACTCTCAGCTTAGGACCAGTAGTCATTGATAACAAGCCCTCATTGAAGGTAAGATGATAAGTGATGTCATTTATTTACTATTGGAGTGATAGGTAATGAAATTCAAAATAAAAAATCAAAGTCAATCACAACAAGAGTGATTATGTTAATACAGTAGTATTTTTCTATGACTGATTTTCATTTTACATTCTTTTACGTTTTTTTAAAATTGTTGTATTGAATGAATAAAAACATTTTTTAACAGTAATACCTGAGAGAAAAGCAAATAAGGGATAATGCTTCTTGCTTTATTCCTACAATAGGCACATGGCCAAGGCACTGCCCACAAAAAAAAAAATAAATAAAAAGAGGTACTCCAAAACAGCTGTTTTCCTATATAAATTGCATGTACCATGGCCAAGCATATCTAAACAAAAATCTCAAACACCATCCTGACTTCTCTCCCTGCTCAGAGCTTTCCATTTTGCATCGCCCTACACAGAGGCCCTACACAGACTTTCTCTGGAGCCACCAGTGATTTACAATAAAAGTGGCCAAGTACAGTAGCTTGCCAGTTGAATTACAATAAATGTAAATAAAAGATTGGATTGTTCACTTACTATTATAATATACATTGTATAAATATATTTTCTGGCATGCATGATTGAATTATTAATTGATTTTATGTTTATATTTTAGCTGGAAATATTACGAATGCCTATCACTAAGGAGGATGGTACCAAGATATCAACAGGTGAACCCAGTCCTAGAGTCTGCATGCAGGTAATCTAGTTTGATAAATGAAATCTTGCAATTGAAATAGCAGCTGTAAAATTACACAGATCAATGATGATGTTCTTTATTAGTGATATTACCTAGAAATCATAGACATAAGTAGATTTATTATCTATTTGTATTTTGAATTCTTTAATTGTTTGACTATAGTAAACTTGGAGTTTATCAACTACTATAGTAAACTTGGAGTTTATCAGCATTTTTGTTGTTTCTAAGTATTTATACCGAATAAGTAAAAAAATTTAAAAAAAAAATTTTATCCAGGTACAGGTGTATGAGAGATATCCTTACTACTGTCCTTGGGTGATTATATAGATATAAATTCATTAAAATAATTGTATTTGTTAGCAATTTTTAATATACAAGTATGCTCTTTTGTGATCTGAACAGCTAATGCATTTTCTGTTTTCTTGTTTTAATATTTTATTGGAACTTTATTTAATGAGAATGGCCTTTGGAGCTCACCATTAATCATTAATTGGACTTATAATTTTTTTAAATAATAATAATAATTTTGATAATAAAGTAAAAAATTCTGCTAAGTATGACGAAATGACGGTAACGATATAAATAGCAATAATTTTGGTAGCAAAAAACAATAGCACTATTGTATCATCATCAAATCAATTAAACCATATAAAATCTAACAATTCAAAACCTGAAACCATAAAGCGTTTTTGCTGGCATTTCTAGTGGCATTATTTTTTTCTTTCTTAAAGTTTTGTTTGAAAAATTGTGGATCCATCCCTGTGTATTATCTGTTAAATTGTTGTATTTTATCATTGGGCATCAAGTCAATTAAATCATAATATCTAACAATTTAAACTGTGAAACCTATGCTTTTCTTATATTACATACAATTTTTTTTCTAATTTTTTTTTGTAATGATTTCAATTTTAAATTATTTTAAAAATCCACATTCAAGGTGTTAGATTTTCTGAAGAAAGAGATGAAAGTGCTGACATCCGGAATGAAGCACACACGTTATAAGTTCCGTGCCCTGTGCTGGACAAGCTTGCCAGAAATGCACTTCCATGATTTGGAGGAGTGCCTGGAAAATGACTGTATTCCATGTGGAAAGGAATTGATAAGCACAGGCAAACTTCAGAGGATGTTCAAGAATAAGCAACTAGTGACAGGTAAATAACAAAAACTAAGGACAACTTATTCTGATTCAATAATGAGAATAACTTTCTAGCTAATCTAATATTATTTTTGGTTTTCAAGTACTGTATTTCAAAAGATGGGTGGGTGACAAGATAAACGACTGTACCCCACGTCATATAAACTTATGTCATGTATAATACAAGAGTGCCTTTTTATCCTTCATTACCCCTTCCTGCTTCCCCCCTCTTGCAAATATCTGGACCTGCATTTTGGGAGTATGGCTAATGTGGACAGACAGTTTGTTGTTTAATATTTGTGACTCGTGAGGTAGTAAAACAAATACAACACGGTTTTTATTTCGGTAAAGCAGTGAATTTTGATTGGGACTACGGTTTTCAGCATCGTGTTGGGAGGTGGTCCAAATCATGCAACACCTTGACAAGTAGAATCCATTACTTTTCCTCAAACTAAAATACCACTATAATCTTAGCATAACTTATTGTATTCCTCTACTAAATAAAACAAGTAAACTACAAATTTACTTGAAAATAAGTTTATATTAACCTCAACATTTAATTATTCTATATTATACAAATCTGTAATAAATTTTACCCAAATTTAACTTGGTTGTTGTGTTTGATGTCCTTTACTGTCATATTATGTTTTGTTTTGTTTTTTAATTATACAGTATACATTATTTAAATTTTACAAATCATTATTTCATTATTGAAAGCATTATCCAGTAATGAAGGGATTAAAATGTTCGGAGGACTGAACTAAATGTTTGGTGATTTACGACACTCATGGACTGCTTTTGCTCAGTTTTGATTTGATTTATTTGGTATCAAAAACATGAAAAAAAAAAAAAAACCAAGACCAAACCGAGTATAAATAGAACAAGAAGGAGGACGCCCTCTGACGGTTGTTTGTTCTTTTTATATTTACCCAGTGCAGCGCAGTAGAAGTATGCCCACTATGAACTTAGTAAGCAGAAAACAAAAGTACTGTGTCTTGTATAGAACAGATAAACAGACAAACAGACTGTGCGCGGTGGAGTACTGGGTAATAAAAAGCACCTACAAGCGTTAGTTGGCGTCCTACACAAGCTGCGTAGGGCGTATCGTTTTTTACACTCTCTATGAGCGTAGTTGGCTCTCTTGTTCTATTTATACTCTTTGTTAAGTGTCACACCAATGCACAAACTGCTTCTACAAAGGCTATAAATAGATATATCAATTGATTTGATTCTCATCCAAAATAGACAGCAGTCATTTTAGTCACTTAATTCTATATTTATTATTTTATCAATTTTTATTTGTTGTAGATTCTTCAATGCAAGGAGCAGGTATCAATGATACTGAAGCAGCGCCACCAGGTTAGTTTTTTTAGATGTTATTACTATTTTGTGTCTCATGAAATTATCTGTTTTTAATATAAATGCTTGAATGTTATTGTGTTGTTGTTATTATAATTATTATTATAATAATTATTATTATTTTCATTATTATTGCTGCTATTATTATTACAGTATTTTTATTATTATTACAGTATTACTTTTATTATTTTTACATTATTATTTATTTTATTTCAATTACCATATTTTATTGTATAGCCTACTTTTACTTTCACTTCAGATGAACGTCTTGGTTATCTTGAAGACAAGCACCTGCTTCGTATCGCTGAGGGCATGGGAATGGAGTGGAAACAACTGGGTGTCAGACTGGGTCTCAGTTGGAACAGGATCCAACAAATATGGAGTGATAAGAGACGATTGCCAGAGAGCATAATGGATATGCTTACAGAATGGAGGAAACAACAGAATTACGAGACAAATCAAGTTGAAATAATGTGCAGAGCTTTGAAGGAGCAAGGACTCAGAGAACTTGCTAACAAGTTCTTCAGCTCAGAGGTATCAGAAGATCAACCATCCAGTTTAAAAGCAGTTAGAGTACTCGCTAGTGGACGATTACATCAAGTGCACCCGAAACACAAAGGTTGGTATTATCAGTGAGATATGGTACATGTAAAGTTACGTAGAATAACCCATAACTTACAACTTCATTGTGCTGAAGACAAATCGAAAATGAAAAGACGTGGTTCTACCAACTGAACCCTGGGCAAGGAGTGACCCATCCAGCACCAATGTTAAGGCTGTAGTTAGCAAAGCCCCTGATTTACCACTCAGTCACCGTCAACTTCTCCATTATTATTTAAAAATATATTTTTAGAATGTTTCATATTGGAACAAAACATTGACACTATGGTACATTTTCAATATCTCTTTTAAATGCTTCCATTTTCTTTTTGCCGTATACATTGGTGGCGCTGTTTGGATATACGCCCAATAAAATGATGTATAGACATGCTTGTTACCAACCTCTGTAATGGCGGACTCAGTGTACAATTTTCTGAAACTGTTTTGATATTGATGTCTTTGCTTTCCTTTAGGATTCTTGGCAGACATTGATATGCAATTTATTGCTGAGGAGCTTGGCAAGGACTGGAAATCCTTTGGCAGCATCATTGGTCTGAAGGAAGCGGAAATACAAAGAATTGAGATGGACTTTTCACCACCAACTGTGGACTCAAGTCTGGAAATGCTGGTCAAGTGGCGAGAAAGGCAAAAAGCCAAAGTAAATCACCTAGTAAAGATGAGTGATGCATTGAAAAAACTTGGAAAGAAGGCTGTGGCTAAAGAACTTCAGAAGTATTACCAGGAAACTCATCAAAAATAATTCAAGAACATTTGTAAGGTACACATTAGTACCACAATTTTGAAGGACAATCACAGTGATTAGGCCAGTGACTAGTTCCCCTCTCCCTTAAGGGAGAGCAGAGACCCCACCCAGCAGTGGTGCCAGCAGGGGGCAGGGTGGGCATATGTCTCCCCTTCAGACAGGCCTGGACCCTCTGTGGTCCGACGAATGACTAGGTCGTCAGATCAAAAATTTAAAAAAAATATAATTTGACTGTCCAAATAACGTTATTATATAGTTTGATCTGAAAGCACATTTTAAGCCAAAAAAACTCTCCCCTTGAACCCTATCAAATGCTTTTTTTATTCTAGGCCGTCGACCGAGGCTTCATAGGCCCTTTGGCACGGACACGTCGGACTCCTCGTCAGCAAATTTCTGGCACCACCGCTGCTCCCACCACTACATTTACAACACTTAATAGAGTTAATGCCACAGTGTATCATAGGGCAAATAATGACACCAGAAGATGTGATATGCTATAGAAATTAAATGATGTGATATAATTATTATACATTATGTAAATAAATATACTGTATATATATATATATATATGGGACAGGGGTTCTTAACTGGCGGCCCGCGAGTGCACGTTATGCATCCCTCGAGAACAAACCGTATTACATATAATATTTTCCATTAGGCTTGTGCCTAGATTTCTGTTTTGCCGACTAGGCCTATATACCGCCCCACAAATTGCTGCGATTTAATCAATCAAATTGGAAGAACTATTGCAGCAAACAGGAAAGAAATTAAGCACGCCAACTTCTTTTTTGTGCTGCTCTACTACATGTGTGTATAGTTGCATTATGACTCTGTGTAGTTCCTCAATCTATTTATAGCTAGAACATCATTATTGTTGAAAGGTTTTGCTCACGCCTGACTCCGAGTTCGGGAAACGAGTAGGCGTTCGTTCAAAATTTCCACGTGGATATTGCGGATACTGTATTACTGATGACCCAATGTGTGGTATATAAAATTTAAAATTTTGCATTACCAAACACAAGGTGAACTTTCAAAGGTCAAAATGAGTATCTAGCAGCTTATTATTTTCAAAAAATCTGGTGGGGGGGCACCCTCCCCCCACACCTGCGGCGCTCAGATGGCACTACATGCTCAGTGCATCACTAGCCCTGGCCCTTCAAATTTATTCAATTAACTATTTTGGCCCCTATTATGATATAGTTGAGAACCCCTGAAATAAGGAAATACATGAGTTAGAATAGTTTTGTAAATATAAAGGTATAATATATAAAATATATTACATTCTTGTGATAGAATCATTTTTTGGGACAGGCAATTTGCTTACATGAATTATGGTATAATTTGTTTTTATATCTCAATAATTACAATACATAAATGTAATTATACTGTATTAGTAAATACTTTCTCATTTCATATTTATATATTGTATATTTTGTAAACTTGTAAGATTTAAATAACCTATTTTTGATACTGAAATGCTAAACATTTTTAAAATTTAAGATTTTTAAAATTATTTTTTGAAGTCATATTTTTTTAAGAAAGAAGAAGAATATCTTCATTTAATTGAAATGTTTGGTTACTTGTTTGAGGGCGTTGTTTAGTGTACCTGAACTAAACATACATTCAGCGGGATAAAGATGATAGAAATTTGAGCTTGTCCCCTGGGGACCGGCATAACCAGACTACAAACGTATAACGGGCACATACGAATACAAACGTTGTACTTAAACTTGCTATCCATACAATCGCTACACGCTATCGATGACAGCTTTCCGTGATGCTGATTGGTCGAATTGGAGAACGTTCCCGATTGTGTCGGGGACTGTTAGTACAACGATTGCGCTGAAAAGTTTAGCGATTTTCTAGGAAACCAGGCTCTTCCCACGTAACTTTGAATGTGGGGATTATTTAAAGATCAGAGCTTTCTTTCTCCAATGATAACGCTGGCTGCGTTTGAACAGAAGTATTCAACACAAGAAGCAGGAACAATACCTCTCAGCCAACCAACCACTTAGCTTATTACTACTATTTATTTATTTAATTATTAATATTATTATTATTATTTGTATTATTATTATTATTATTATTTGTATTATTATTTGTATTATTATTTGAGTATGTTGATTTGTTTGATATCTGAGACTTGTATTCTAATGTGAATGTTTTGCCATATTTTTCTATTGAGGTTTTTCTTTCTATCTAATTGTAAGTTACATGTTAATTAGGTTTTATTTTTGCAAAAGTTTTTAAATAAAATTGAAATTGATAGATTGAATGAGTGAATGATTGTTATTGTGCTGTATGCATCGGCGTTCGTTTCAGGACAGCGTTGCTAGCCAATCTGATATGAGGGAGCGTTTTTTTTTATGCAGGTTTATACGTGCCTGGTTAAACTAGCAGGGGTTGTACCAGTGGAGCCAGGATGTGAGCAATATTCCCCCTTCGCTCTCTACCAAATTAGTATTGTTGAACTATTAATCTGATTATATATGGTTTTCAAATCCATAGTCATACCTTCCAGGGATTAGGTGGGATTTTTTGTTTGGCGTTCGTTATGAAGACTCTCTTAGGGACATTTCCCCATCCCCCCGTCAGGCAAATCAATTCTATAGACGACTTTAACAGAAATGTACAAAGTAATGTTGACATTAAAAATCGTTCTGCAGGTATTGTTTTTAGCGCGTGAAAGTTTGTTGAGTCTGATAGACGCATACCATGTTCTTGAAAAACATAATTATACCGAAGTTACTTGAATAAACACCCAAATTTGAATAAACTACTCCCTCTAAAAAAGTCCCCCTCTAAAAAAAGAACCCTCTATAGCCTCATTTTTAATAAATGCCTTCCTCGAATAAATACTTCAAGGCGTTTTTCCCCTCTAAAAAAACGTCCCCTCCCCTACTCTAAACAGGCAGTGTGACGAGAGTGTCTGCAGTTGATATATACGGAAGAGCTGGGACCACACGACCCTCACTCCAATTCCCTCAATTATGGAGCCTTCCTCGCCAATTTAGTCTTTTTTACGCCCCCATTACATCCCTATCGTCAGTTTCCCACCCACTTCAATACTCATGGATACGTCACTATAGCACGGAGAACTAGTTTAATTTACAAGAATGATGGCCAGTGATGATGTTGACCAATCAGATCAAAAACGAGAAATAATAATAAAAATAAGATAACTGATACGTGAGAGAGAGCGTTTGACCCTTTCAAATAAGAAAACTGATACGTCAGAGAGAGCGTTGAATGACCTTTTTAAAGAAAACTGATACGTCAGAGAGCGCTGGATGACCTTTAAATCCGAAGGTTCACACACACACACACACACACACCTACCCACACACACACACGGAATGGATATAAAAGAGGAAAATGTTTATTTGAGATGTTGTGCAACTGATTTTACCATGCGGCTACAAGAAGAATATTTGACGAAAATCTCGGGAGTTGATATGAGACGTATTTTGGAATATTTTAAAGATGGGGTGGAGGGGGGGTGGGTGCTGAGGAGATTTAAGAAAGGTGTTTGTTACCACCCTTTTCCCCATGTAATATTAAAAATCTGTATTCAATCATTCATATTTATTGCTAAATTTCAAAAACAAATAGGCCTACAAAAAAATCAAGCAAATACACATGGCAATAGGAGGTTAAAAGGATTTCTCTTATTACCATAGGCGTAGATCCCGGTGGGGATGGGGGTTATATCCCCCCCTCCAATATTTGACAAGGGGGGGGGGGTGGTCAATTGTATCTCCCCCCCCCCACCAATGCTTATCCCCCCCAATGTTTTGACTATGTATGGGATAAAATGGAGCTTTACACACTTCAAAAGACTTTCACAGAAATAATTTGCACGGTCTCATGCGCTTACAAAGATGAAAATTAGCATAATGTATTAATGTTGATAACAAAATTATTTTATCTGGTACCAATCTAAGCTCTTCTTTCCTTAGATGTTAGATGTGCTTGCAAAGAGAGCCACATTTCACACTAAA